CTATAGAAGCAAATCCAAAAGAGAAAAGCAGGCTCAAATCGTAGTCAACGGACTTTACACGTAATACTTAATTGTGTTAGAGGGAATCTCTTATATTTAAGAACGAAGAAGAAAATGTGATGGATGACATTCTCTGTCCAAAAAAAATGACAACAGCAAGCCAAACACAGACATTAGAGTGTAACCCTTATTGGAAACTAGTGTGCTGGATAGTGTTGAGGAAGTAGGACAGAGTTGGGACAAGGAAGTCTGGGAAGAAATCGAGGGAAATCGAGGGAAATCGAGGGGGATTTGAGGCCCTGTGTTCCGTCAGAAACCTTAAGGAAAGACGACGATGAAAGTTTTCTATATTCGCCTTTTTACATTTTACCCGAAAACATTATAAAATTATAAACCAAGCTGTGCCTCACTTAGAATGTCAGTTTAAAGTTTTTACTATCTTCGATTGTTACTACAGGGTTATTGAGAGCTCAGAAACGATAGAAAGTGAGCCGAATATATAATTTTACAAATAGTTTTATTGGTGAGGGGTAATTTTAAAAAATGGGGGTGGGAGGTGAGGGGGGGGGGGGGGTTCAGACTTCTGTGACGATGTGCTAAGTGGCAGTAAAAAAAAATGAAAGGGGAAGCGTTACCCTTATGAAATGTAAAGTTGCCAATTTTGTGTATTACTTTTGAACAAAATTGAGGAAAAGGCATGCTGATGTGGTTTTAATTGTTCTATGTGAATGGGGGGCGTAGGAAAAAAAAGGGGGGGGGGGGGTGTATGTTGGAGATGGGGGTTGAAATAGTGTAAGTGGGGCTTTGTGACGTCATTTGTTGTATTGGTGTTTAAGAAGGGGGGGGGGAATCTGACTGGTATAGAAAAACTGGAATTATTTATATCATCCATTGCCCATTTCTGAGCATTTTATTATAACGAAAACTCTGAAACTTGAGGATTCTGATCCTGTATGAAAGGATATAAAAATGATATAGAGTACTTTCTCCTATTATAAAAGTACACATACTTTATAAGTATCATCTTTTGACTAATATGATAATAAAAAAAAACTAAAACAAACGGCCCTGAATATGTTGAATTGTAAATAGCATTGTCGGACGCTACATCCGGTGTGGTTTTTTTTGGGAATATTTTCTATTGGTCGCCTGAGCAGGAGCTGGTATGCAAATGAGCGGTCTCAGGAGATTTGATTGGTTAACTTGTTACAGTCCAGCAGTCTACGGGCCGTAGACGTTAGCTATTAGTTGTAGCATTACACTAGTGTATTGGGTTTAACTATCACAGCGGGGGTGATGGTTGTCAGGGTTAGGTTGGGGTGGTGATGGTGGGGTGTAAAGAGGCGGGGTGGAGTTGTTGTGGTTATATATATATATATATATATATATATATATATATATATATATATATATATATATATATATATATATATATATACATATACATATATATATATATATATATATATATATATATATATAAATATATATATATATATATATATATATATATATATATATATATATATATATATATATATATATATATATATATATATATATATATATATATATATGTGAGTGTGTGTGTGTGCACACATAAATATGAATACGCTATAAATTTAAACATATATATGTATATATATATATATATATGTATATTTTCATACATAAACCAAAAACATGTTATACTAGCCTACTTACTGAACAAATAGGACAATGTTTTATGTGCAGCTAATTTTAGATTGTTTTATTTCGGTGAGTGATTATTTATATATTGAACGTATACATACATATTATATACCTATATATGTACATTTCAGGTAGCTTGTGACTATTTATTTTCTAATGCCATTACATACGTACAAACATAAAGTATTATATAGGATTTTAAAAAAAAAAACATTGATAACCGCGTTTGATTTTCATAGTCTCATTAAATACATTTGCTAATTGTAAGCTAAATGTAAGTATTTCCCCTCCCCCCAAGTTAAATGCCACATTAACCACAGACAGATAGCCTCACAGCATATGAAGACCCCCTGTAGGTAAACAATGTCACATAGGTCTCAATTGTCCCCTGTAATATGCAGAGTAGAATACATCGCTTATGTTGACTTGTACACCGATAAAAGGCTAAAAAAATCGATTGCTCCTTCTGTGTTTGTATTTGGCTCTGTTATACGTTTATTTCTTTTTTTTTATCTGGCTCATTGTTTCGACAGTATACCCCCCCCCCCCTCTGTATTATTCCGCTTGATTTGATCGGGGGTTGATTTGTAGTTACTGCAAGTTAGAATAGTAGGTAAATCAATTGAAAAGTAATAATGTGACTCACAATTGGTTTTACGAGTAGTAGCATATGTTACTCGTATGTTTTATTGCTACCTACCCAAAGACGACTATATATACATACACACACACACACACACACACATATATATATATATATATATATATATATATATATATATATATATATATATATATATATATATATATATATATATATATATATATATATATATATATATATATATATATATATGTGTGTGTGTATATATATAAATATATAAATATATATATATATATATATATATATATATATATATATATATATATATATATATATATATATATATATATATATATATATATATATATATATATATATATATATATATATATATATGTATATGTGCGTTGGTCGCAACGAAAATCTATATATATATATATATATATATATATATATATATATATATATATATATATATAATTCTCTTCTTGGAGACGCTAGAAAACACCAAGCTGTAAGCGCCCTCCCTACCACCCCACCCCTACATGGTCTGGTGAGCTTTGGTTCATGCTAAATGTTTACAATCGTAGAGCCGGGTTTAGTGACGGCTATTAGGGGCAGATAATTTAGTTTGAACAATTTTAAACTTAGGGGAGGTAACTAAGAGGAGGCTGTTTTCACGTGGGGGAGGGGGTGGTGTGGGGGTGTAGGGTAGGGTTTGTAGGAAAGGAGGGTGGGGTAGTATCGTCCTTAACGACCTACTGATAGGTTTTTAAAGAAATTATTTTCAGTGACCGCATTGGTACTGTCGAATTTACAAATTATGAATTACTGAAAAGTAGAAAATAAAACAACTAAATAGTGGCATATGATACGCCGCGGGTCGGCTCGTACTTTCTATTTCTCTAGCGAGGCCCATTTGTCGACTTTAACCATCGTATGTAATGATATGTAAAATATGTTTATAAATTAAATTAGTTTTTAAAAGTTTGGGTTTGGCAAAAAAGAAGAGCAGTATATACTTTTTGTTAGTAATTTAAACTAATTAGAATATTTGTTTTGATAAATGTTACAGCTTGACCAAAAAAAAACAACAACAAAAAACAACAACATTAGACTGATAAAATATTTGTTTTATTCAAACATTTGACAATTAAAAACACGTTTACAGCATAACAATTTTTTTTACGTCCACAAATTTACAAAACAATTTTTCAACAAAATAAGTTTTTTTTAGCAGTTGAAGTTAAGGTACGAGCTGCAATAAATTAAATGACTTAAAAAACAACAACAACAACAAACAACGACTCATTTCTTGATTCATGAGATCATTCAATTGGCGTAACGCATGGGTGTGTATGAGGGGGGGGGGGGTGGAGCTGGTGGGGCGAATTTGCCTCACTAGTTTTTTAATTTCCTGTAAAATTAAAAATATATCAGCGACACATCTGTACCATTAAATGTTTTTAATTATTTTTTCATCATCATGTCAAGTACACATCCTTTAATCTTGATACAATGCCCAGCTTTTAGACTTAAAAAAAAAGCTAAATCGAAAATTATTCAGTTTAATATATTTGGTTGTTATAATTCAAACTAATTGGCTGATTTCGTTTCAATTTTTAAAATTAACTGGTACAAAAATATACGAATAGATCTTTTAAAAAAAAAAGGTTTGAAATATAATTTTAAAGTTTTTGTATAGTATTGAACTGCATTAAGATAGTTTTATTCGAAATATTAAAAAAATATATCAGAAATGCGTCGTACTCTATTTTTGTTTACATGTTTCTAAACTTTTTTCCCCCGTAAAATATGAAATACGACCAGCCTTAACGAAGATGCGTATTATGTGTACAAGTGAATAACTGACGCCACGATTACTCCTCGCTACGATTACAGGACGCGGCGATTACTCGAGTATTTGTGAGTTCCGTCCCCTAGGCCTACCCCTCCACCATCGTTAATTCAAAACAAATGTTCGGCGCCCCCCCCCCATTATCTGCCAGTGGCTGTAGCTATTTATAGCATTTATTTACTGCTACCACTCTCGCTCACGCTGATTACACAGTGACAACAAAGCTAAAAAAAAACAAGCGTCATTTAAAAATAAACAAGACATCTAAACCGACAAACAAATGTAATATGGCTGATCTGGAAAGCGAAACATATTTTACATGCTATTAAAACCTTCAGAATTAATAACCAGCAATACATATATATATATATATATATATATATATATATATATATATATATATATATATATATATATATATATATATATATATATATATATATATATATATATATATATATATATATATATATTAAGGTATATGTATTTGGCTATATATATATACACACACATATATATATATATATATATATATATATATATATATATATATATATATATATATATATATATATATATATATGTATATATATATATATATATATATGTATATTTATATATATTTAAGTATATATATATGTATATGTATATTTATATATATAAGTATATATATATATATATATATATATATATATATATATATATATATATATATATATATATATATATATTATTTTTTTATATATATATGAGTATGTGTATTTGGCTATCACATTATCAATAATTATGAAATCACAATTTTTATTTGAAATAACAGCACTGTTGTTGAATCATGGGTAAAATCATTCAAGTATCTTGAGTGATTATCTTGAGTGACTGTCTCGGGAATATCTTATTTTCAACACTTCAGATAACAAAGATGTGTTTTAAGAAAACTTGGCGCTGATGTTCGCACCGTTTCTTTTGGCTTTGATGCGCACGACCGGGTTGTCTCCTGAGGCGTTCAAGAAATAATACTTTTCTGGCTTGAGTTTAGAGTTGAGCTTAAGGACGAGGGGCACGGAGTTGGGGAGGTTAAGGTCAGCGATGTCCGTGTTTCCGGTGTTGTCCAGGTGCTTGATCAAAGACCGGAAGTTGTTAGCGTGTCCAGTGATGAGAACGCGTTTTCCGGATTTGATTTCCGGGAGGATTTGATCCGACCACAGCGGCATAGTACGTAGCACCGTGTCTTTGAGGCTTTCAGAAACTGGAATCAAACTAGGGTCAAGATGGCTGTACTGGCGGCTATTCCCGGACCACAAGGGGTCGGATTTATCCATGGGCGGGGGGCGGACGTCGTAGGAGCGCCGCCAGAGCTGAACCTGGTGGGCGCCGAATTTCTCGACGACTTCCGCTTTGTTGAGCCCCTGCAGGGAGCCGTAGTGGCGCTCGTTGAGGCGCCAGGACTTGACGACCGGCAGCCAGTGGCTGTCCAGCTCGTCCTGGATGATGTGGAGGGTCTTAATGGCCCGCTTTAACATGCTGGTGTACGCCACGTCAAATTCGAACCCGTGCCGCAGTAGTAGCTGTGGGCAGAGAGAAATTGGTTTTTAAATTTCTTTCTTGAAATAGTTTTTTAAATCTATATCATGTACGTTGGAAAATGGGTTTTTACATATATATTCAGTAAATAGGGAATTTAAAAAAAATAATATATATATATCCTGTTTTTAGAGAAATGTTTTTAAACAAAAAATATATGCGCTATTCCGTAGAAAGAGAAATTTAAAAAATAAATAAATTCCGTATACAGATAAATGGTTTTAAAAATCTATACTCCATACTTGGAATATGTTTATAAAAGATATATTCCGTATATAGAGTAATGTTTAAAAACATATATTCAGTATTTAGAGTCATGCTTTTAAAATCAGAAGTTTGTTTGTCAAAGCCTTGGACGTACCCTCTCATAGATATACACACCCTTGACAACCAACCGACCCCTATCCCACAGTGACAAAACCCCAAAGACATAACCCCTTCCCCTGAAATTTTATATGAAGTTAAAATCACACGATGACAGAACAAATTGCTTAAAAAAAAAAACAACGAAAAAAAAAACCCAGAACACACGAAAAAGAAATTCAAGTATAAAGGCTTCAGTGAATGTGTGTGTTTTCACCTAAATACTTAGTATACTGTACTCATTAAAACTCGTAACAATATTATGATGCTGTTATTATAAAAAAATTGTTTTGGTAAACATTATTCTAAAATTATTTGTGCCTAATAGGTCTACACCTGCTATTATGTTTGTTTTGGAGGTCGGTAAATTGATATTTGGATAATAGGAAAAATTTAAGCGCCCCCCCACCCCCGCCTCAGAAGTTTCCAACGCCCCGTTCCCCGGAGAAAAATATCTTTTAAAAAATTGCATGAATGTTCCACATGGTACAAGGAATACTAGAGTTCCCCCAGGTTCTCTGCTGAGGTAAATGTACATTGGCCTAATTTTTTTTTATATAACATCTAAACTTAAACCAGTGTGTCATAACCGTTTTGCAGGTACCGAACTCCACCAGTTTCATATGCGCATTCATCGAACCCTTCTTAATAGTTCTATCGTCCGCACTGACAAAATCCGATCGTGAATCTTATGAGTCGGGTGTGTTTCTTGACCTCCGCCGAACCCCTGAGACAGACTCACTGGGGTTCGATCGAACCCTGGTTAAGAACCACCGCGTTAAGCCTTCACCCCGCCTAACTCTGGATGTAAAACTGCTTGTATTGTCAAATTGTTTCCCTTTGATCATCATGATGAGTTAAATTTATACGAATTGCATCAATTACATCGCACGTGAAAAGAGAAGATGTGTGTTCAGGTAAAAAAATAATTACTTGATCGGTAGACTTTCAACACATTGGAATGTCGTGACGTCAGTAATGCAGGTATGATTCATTATTATAGCATTAAAAGATATTTTTTAAAATAAAGTTATTAAATACAAAATTAAACAGACCAGCGTTTTTTTTTTTGCCATGCGTCTTACTGGAGGAGGAATGTGGGGGGCGGGGGGGGGGGAGGAGTTTTTTCAACAACTGGTTTTTTACAGACTGGTTAAGATAACAGTAATAAATAGAGACAGAGACAAGTAAGAGACTGGAAGACTTGATCTTGGCTGGTATTTTATTTTTTAATTAGCTACTCATTTATTTTATTTTTAATTGAAACTGGAGGTTTATTATATTTTAAATTATTCTTTAAACTAGTAATTTTTTGTTTATATTGGTCATTTATTTTATTTTTTAAACAGGTAGTTTAGTTTAATTTAAATTATTCTTTAAACAAGTAATTTTTTTTATTAAACTTGTCATTTATTTTTAATTTAAACTGGTTCTTTAGTTTATTTTAAATTTAATTAGTCATTTAATAACGACTCATTTATTTTAAATTTTAATTAAACTAGTCATTTATTTTATTTTTATTGCAAACTACTCATTTATTTTAATCAACATGTGACAGACGAAGTAAATGTGATAGTCATTGTCAATATTTCCCAGCTTAAAAAAATCCAGTCTCAATAACCCCTTAATGCTGACCTTGAACCTGGTAAAATTCACTAACTTGACCTTTTCCATGATTAATCCACTCTCATGATTAACAGACCCTATTAATTAACTCCATTTCAACAAGTCACAAAACCCCCCTCTATCTATAAATAAGTGAACTCGCCCGACCTACTGCCCCTGTTAACTCTGAATGGACTCACCTGGCCGGCGGCTATAGCCTCGTTCTCTCCCTTGACGGACTTCTATTTTTAAAAAAGTGAACTCGCCCGACCTACTGCCCCTGTTCACTCTGAATGGACTCACCTGGCCGGCGGCTATAGCCTCGTTCTCTCCCTTGACGGACTTCTATTTTTAAAAAAGTGAACTCGCCCGACCTACTGCCCCTGTTCACTCTGAATGGACTCACCTGGCCGGCGGCTATAGCCTCGTTCTCTCCCTTGACGGACAGGTCCGAGTCATGCCAGCCGCTGAAGAGGTTCTCTTTGTTGTACAGGCTCTGTCCGTGCCTGACCAGTACCACGGTGTATGGTGACGTCATCTCGAGAGCAATGCGAGGCCCTCTGTTTTAGCACTGGGGAGGACGAGAGTTTAATTAATTAAGTAATTAATTAAAATTAATTTTAAAACATCAGGTATTGTAGCATAGGCGCCTACGGGGCACTTCATAGGGGAGATAATTATGTCAATCAAGAATTAATTGGATAATGTTGTAGGATTAATTAGGAATCAGAATGACTTTTGTATAATTTTTTTTACTAGTTATAATTAGCTATTAAGTTCCCTTATTTGATTATATTATTCCATGTAATCAATATAAATCCAATAAATTCCTTTTAATCATACTATTATTATAGTTTATAAATAGTATTTATTACTAAATTATTATGAAAATAATATAAAAAATAAATGAAAAATATTAAGAAGGTATGAAAAGGCATTTAAAGTTGTATTATAGTTTATAATAAATTTTTTAAAATGTCAATGGTAGACGTCATAAAGAGAAGAGAAAGTGGTATCTTTATTGTTTATAAATCAACGATATCCGAGACAATCGACGATAACCAAGACATATTTTTCAAGGGAAAAAGACAAAAACTGAATTTTCACTGTATCTTTATAGTTGAGGGGTGTAGGGGTGCGGAACACATTTCCGATTTTCTGCTTAAACAGGCGACAATAACGATAAAAAGGGTGTTTAATTAATTGTAACAAGAAATTTATTTTAAATTAGTCACTACGAAAATATACTTATTAAAATAAAACAAATAATATATTTATTTTGACATGTATAAGTAAAATAAGCAATATAAATAAAATACGAAGCGCGTCGGTCGATTTTGGTTTTACACGGTGTTTAGAAAAACCGCCTGAAAAAAAATGAGATGGGTCGATACTACGCTGATTTATAAATAGAAGCTATAGAGCCGAGAGTAGGATAAAAACAATTAGGTTCTAGTGCGGGAGAAAGCGAGAGATGTTAGCGCTATAGTAAATCGTGTAACAGACACGGGAAAAACGGTACATACTTCCCTGTGTTCGCTGGTATCTGGTCCTACGTTCACTGTGTACTCACGACAAGAAGCACGGTTCGTCTAGCAACCGCGATATGCGGAACAACACACAAGCCCACCCCTAGCAACACATGTCGCAAAACCTGACACGGCTAGCGTCAGAGCTGTGTGAATCGTCGGTTTGTTTTTGTATTACAACCAAAATGATTTAATGTTATATTTATTTAGGTGCTGGGTTAAGGGGTTTTTCACAGACGGTAGAAGATCGATTTCGTGTGCTTCATTCATAAATTACCACTACGTTTTGTTTGGCGATCGATTCTTGACAGTCCCGCGCTAAATGTTTTTCATTAATGAGGAATGTAGGGCGGAATGTGGGTTGCGTTTAGAGGAAGAAGTACGGTACTGATAGAGTTCTGTTGTTGAGGTTGTAGGATAGTGCTGATATAGCAGAATATCTTTAACGAAGTAGTGTACGTTTTAAATGTAATATAAGAATACGACAAGAAGAAATAATACAGTCGTATGTTAAAGAGATGTGGTCTGATGTTGTGGTCTGATGTTGTGGTCTGATGTTGTGGTCTGATGTTAGATGTAGTCTGATGTTGTGGTCTGATGTTGTGGTCTGATGTTGTGGTCTGATGTTGTCTGATGTTGCGGTCTGATGTTGTCTGATGTTAGATGTGGTCTAATGTTAGATGTTGTCTGATGTTGCGGTCTGATGTTGTCTGATGTTAGATGTGGTCTAATGTTAGATGTTGTCTGATGTTGTGGTCTGATGTTGTGATCTGATGTTGTGGTCTAATGTTAGATGTGATCTGATGTTAAATAGAAGAAGCGGCCTAACTATTACTTATATATACGCCAGTTGCAGAAAAGCGTCATGTTAGTCTATACGTCACAAGTACGGTTTAGAACATGACGGTTGATTTCAAGAAGTCCTACTACATAGTCTACTTTATTGTGATGTGAAATGACAGTATCATAATACTACATATAGTTTTAAAAACACTGGCAGCGAAATTTAATTTACTGAAATTAATTGTGAGTCACAGATTAGTATGATGTTGTGGTCTGATGTTGTCTGATGTTGCGGTCTGATGTTGTCTGATGTTAGATGTGGTCTAATGTTAGATGTTGTCTGATGTTGTGGTCTGATGTTGTCTGATGTTGCGGTCTGATGTTGTCTGATGTTGCGGTCTGATGTTGTCTGATGTTAGATGTGGTCTAATGTTAGATGTTGTCTGATGTTGCGGTCTGATGTTGTCTGATGTTAGATGTGGTCTAATGTTAGATGTAGTCTGATGTTGTGGTCTGATGTTGTGATCTGATGTTGTGGTCTAATGTTAGATGTGATCTGATGTTAAATAGAAGAAGCGGCCTACCTATTACTTATATATACGCCAGTTGCAGAAAAGCGTCATGTTAGTCTATACGTCACAAGTACGGTTTAGAACATGACGGTTGATTTCAAGAAGTCCTACTACATAGTCTACTTTATTGTGATGTGAAATGACAGTATCATAATACTACATATAGTTTTAAAAACACTGGCAGCGAAATTTAATTTACTGAAATTAATTGTGAGTCACAGATTAGTAAACGAATGAGAAAGTTTACACTCACTTACCGTAGATTTATATTTTAAATGTAACTCGGGATGCTGTTGTTAGCAATGCATAAAATCAAGCTATCCGTATCTTTCTGAGGCTGACGTTTTAATGATCGAGATTTTCCTATCTTCGTGGGGTATTTAAGTGCAAGAATAGAAAGGACTGCCCAGGTGTTTGGAAAGGGGGAGGAGGGGTTAGGGGTGAGTGTGTGTGTGTAGGGGGGGATGAGGGGTTAATAACAAAAGCAAAGGTGCGAATGAAAAGGCAGGTAGGGTCCAGCTAATTAGGCGTGGAGCGCACCATAAAGACCCTATTGTGTGACAGTGACTGTGTTGGTCTGTCAGGGTGATCTACCCCTGGGCTATCAAAACATGCGGGGTCGTGATTGGCAGGTCACCTTGACACGATATGACGGATGACGTCATTAAAGCGAGATTTCACCTGTGTCCTATTGTGTGTGTGTGTGTGTGTGTATGTAATTCTAGATGATGTCAACATTTTAGATGAAAAGTTGGAATACAACACAATTGGTCTTTAATTAGTCTGTCCGGGGATGATTCAATAGATGGATTTAGGTCATAATGTCGGGTGACTTAGTGACCAATATTATACACGTCATATAACCAACTCACGTCATATAGTTAAACTGGCCTAGTTCTATACAAGGGGGTTGATGTAGTCTTCGGCAAGGCTTTAGAACTAATTAAGGCTTTTAACATGTTTCAAATTAAATGAAATTCTTGAAGTTAATCAAAGAGGCACACAACTACTAGTCACATTATCTTTCCCGTTCGTGCCAAACTCATATGGGGCGGATGAAGTAGAGTTCATATATATCAGCCAACAGGGATGTCTTGGGAGATGGCAAAATTAATAGCCGGGGGTCGGAAGAAATGGAAGGAAATGGTGGAGGCCCTATGTTTCATAAGGAGCAAAGAGGACTAAGTCAAATAAGTCAAGTCATATCAGTGACCTTGGCATATGAAGAAAAAACTTGGTCAGCACCTTGCCCAGCCATTACTTTCCCTAACATGGGTTAGGTACCCATCACAGCTAGGTGGACTCAGAGACGTTCTACTGACTTGAACCCGGATTCGAACTCGAGACTTTTAGCAGTCTATCGTTCTACTACTACGCCACACTGTCTCCTAAAACCACAAGTAGACAGGTGAACTATGATAAAAAGAAGATATCCTTGTAAACGAATTAATACAACATAGAGTAATGTAATGTAATGGCCAGAAATGTAATCAGATATATCAGATATGCGTCTAAACCCCTGCTTCTTAACCTGGGGTCGATCGAACCCCAGGGGTTCGGTGAGCCAATCTCAGGGTTTCGGCTGAGGTCAAGACACACACCGGACTCATATGATTCACGATCGGAGTTTGTCAGTGCGGACGATAGAACTATTAAGAAGGGTTCGGTGGATGAACCTATGAAACGGATGGGGTTCGGTACCTCCAAAAAGTTTAATAACCGCTGGTCTGAACAGGTTGTAGGTCGCTGAGTTAGAACTATTTGAACTGAAAAACTGGAGAGGTATGACAACACTCAACAGCGTAAAGCACGGGGGTGGGGGAGGAAGAGGGATTAATTAGTCCCGAGGGGGTGGGGGGGGGGGACGACGATGATGACGACATAATGCTTTTTCCAGGGGCTGAGATAGAAGGTGGTCAGAAAGGGTGGGCAAATCTTTGTGGGGGAGGGGGGATAATGGTTCTAGAAGGAGGTAATCCTGTTTCCATGGGGATAATCCTGTGGGTATGCGGTTAATCCTATTTTCTAAGGGGGTATATTGTTTCCTTAGCATGGATTATAGCAACTTAGAGCAGGGGTTGAATCGGGCATGATACATATGTTCTTCAGGTGAATTATAACAAGAAATATGTGAGTGGTATGTCATAAGCATATGGCGTGTGTGGATGTAGCAATAGGGGGAATGGGTGGTCGCAACAAAATGGGGAATGGGCGGTCGCAACAACATGGTGGATGGGTGTTCGCAACAACATGGTGGATGGGTGGTCGCAACAACATGGTGGATGGGTGTTCGCAACAACATGGTGGATGGGTGGTCGCAACAACATGGTGGATGGGTGGTCGCAACAACATGGTGGATGGGTGTTCGCAACAACATGGTGGATGGGTGGTCGCAACAACATGGTGGATGGGTGGTCGCAACAAAATGGGGAATGGGTGGTCGCAACAAAATGGGGAATGGGTGGTCGCAACAACATGGGGAATGGGTGGGCGCAACAACATGGGGAATGGGTGGTCCCAACAACATGGGGAATGGGTGGTCGCAACAAAATGGGGAATGGGTGGTCGCAACAAAATGGGGAATGGGTGGTCCCAACAACATGGGGAATGGGTGGTCGCAACAACATGGGGAATGGGTGATCGCAACAACATGGGGAATGGGTGGTCACATGGGGAATGGGTGGTCGCAACAACATGGGGAATGGGTGGTCGCAACAACATGGGGAATGGGTGGTCGCAACAACATGGGGAATGGGTGGTCCCAACAACATGGGGAATGGGTGATCGCAACAACATGGGGAATGGGTGGTCACATGGGGAATGGGTGGTCGCAACAACATGGGGAATGGGTGGTCGCAACAACATGGGGAATGGGTGGTCGCAACAACATGGGGAATGGGTGGTCGCAACAACATGGGGAATGGGTGGTCGCAACAAAATGGGGAATGGGTGGTCGCAACAACATGGGGAATGGGTGGTCCCAACAACATGGGGAATGGGCGGTCGCAACAAAATGGGGAATGGGTGGTCGCTACAACATGGGGAATGAAATGAAAATAACAAGGGAGAGATAAAGGGACATGCTGGATCAACATATGGAAGGTGTCTTTTACCTTGGGGCGGAGAGGAACAGAAGAACATTGAGATGGGATGGTCTATCTTCTTCTTTACGGCTTTTTCGTTCTGAATTGTAATGCTGGAGGTGATTTCCTCCAACAGAATTAAGAATTACGTGTCAGCTGGTTATATAGACCGCTGACTCCGATTTCAGCCTGCTTTTCTTTCTAGATTTGCTTCCATAGCCTTTTTCCATACAAAAACAAAATACAAGGCAGCAGTTGTTTGCTTTTAGAGCTATCGATCTATCGGAGGTTCGAACTCGGTTTAGGAGCTATGAGCTTTACCGGCCCGACCACACCGACACCCCCGGATGGTATATAACATTTAGGTATGGGACGGGTTACCACAGGACGTACAAGAAGAATCCAGAATTTCTTCCAGACATCTCATTGAGAGGCGGAGCCCCCCCCCCCCCCCTCCCGAAGAAAGTCTACCGCCCACCCCCGCACGAAGTGGAATTTATACAGAAAACATAATACTTTTACCAGTGTCCCCCCCCCCCCCCCCACCGGAAAAATTTTGTCCGCTCCCACCCCTGAAAATATCAAATCCACCTCCCCCCCCCCCGGAAGAAAAAAGTCTGGAAGATTCTATAACCAAAACGATGCGCAGGAATAA